TTGAATGTCTTTCCTAATTTCCTTGTCAGAATTTCTTAGTCATTATGGATAATTTTATTCGAGAAAGTTATCCAACATTTCTTGACCATCTTTCCTTTTACAGTCTAAAGGTCTACAAATTGCAACAGTCTTTCCTCAAATACAGAATCTTTTTTTTTTCTTTTTCTTTTTAAATTTTGTCACAGTACATGGTTCTCTATACTTAGAATTTCCAAGGTGACTCATCATTTCCATGTCACCAACCACTTCTCTTTGTAGATTAGAAATAAGTGCAGAGTAAGTAGATCCCTTTGTCTGCCTTCCTAATGGGCCTGGATACCATTCTATTCCTGTGTTCTAGGCCTGAAATTCATCCCACCAAATTGCTCTCATGTCTAATGCTTGTATACTTTTCATTAAGCTGCTTTCAAAGGAAAATATTTTGCTGATATGATGCAATTATCACAACCCTGTAATCTCAGGTCTCTGATTTGTTCCAATATTATGATTAATTTTTTTCTTGTTAAATATGTGCAGTGAATTAATTCAAAAGAAGACCTGTATAGATTTTTTTGAGGGCTGGCATCTAGCCAAATACTTACTCTCTCACAGCTATGCCCTATTCATGTGCATACTGAGCAAATTATAAGCAAAGCACAATATTTATGTAGCATTATAATAAGAATATAATGGGATAAATTTGTTTCTACATTAATTTATATATGTTACTAAAAAATTATGATGCCAGGCAGGCAGTCAGTTCCTGAAACACCTTGTAGGCAACAAAACTGCTCTCTCACTGCTGTGATGGTATCTGAATGAATTACTTCATTTGTCAAACAGTTTTCTTCTTAAGAGGACTGTGGACATTAATGCTTCATTGATAACTGTATGACATGTTGATTATTAATGTATTCTATGAGATATTGCATTTTCTTAGTCATTAGTATAGGATTCATGCATGTTTATTCTCTAAACCTAGATGTATCTATCATCAAATGAAAGAGCTGTGAACCACAGAAATAAGCTGTAAGTCGGAATGTTAGAATAAAGGAAAAACATGTATCTTTAAAATAAATATATTAATTTCAATATAAAGACCAGCTATTCAGGTGTCTAACATATTTATGGGGGAAAATTTTTATTCTCTAAAATTTCAGAAAGAGAATATTTTCTTGACCCCTGAGACTAACATTTATGTGAAAGTGTTTTATAAACAATAGTTATACATTGAGATATAAGACAATAATGGGATTTAAATAAGGAAGCATAGATATAAAATTTAGTCCTCAGTCTTCAAATACTTAGCATATTATTTTTTTTATTTTTGTTAATCAAATTTATTGGGGTGACATTGGTTAGTAAAATTATACAGGTTTCATGTGTACAATTCTGTAACACATCATCTATATATTGCATTGTGTGTTCATCACCCAGAGTCAGTTCTCCTTCCATCACCATATATTTGACCCCGTTTGAGAATACTGGTCATGCTAACTAAAGATAATGAAAAAAGACTAGCAAATAGTTGTAGTTGCTTATAAGCCCATTACTTCCTCCAAATTACACTGCTTTTTAAAGGAAAAATCAAAGTAGAAGCTAAATGGAACATACTCTAATAAGGCAACTACCAGACAGAATTTTGCTTGTCAAACTCTCAGTTTCTGCCAAAGCAAAATAACCTCTTCTTTAGGTGTATAAACCTGATGGTAGCTAATAATGAGGTCCACCAATTTCAAGCAAGAGGAACAAAGGGAATATACACTAGTTTCCTAGGGATGCCGTAACAAATCACCACAAATTAGGTGGCTTGAAACAACAGAAATTTATTCTGTCACAGTTCTAGAGGCTAGCTATCAGAAATCCAGGTGCCGGCAGGCCATGCTCACTCTGAAGGGCAGAATGTGACCCATGCCTCTCTCTAGTTTCTGGTATTGCCAGCTATCCTTGGCATTCCTTGGCTTATAGATGCTTCACTTCAATCCCTACCCCTGTGGTCACAAGGTGTTCTCCCTGGGTGTCTGTCTCCCTTCTCCTCTTCTTAGAGAGACACCAATCACGTGAAATTAAGGCCCACATTAATAACCTCATATAAGCTTCCTTACATCCATAGATACTCTATTTACACATAAGGTTACATTCACAGGTACTGGAGGTTAGGCTCCAACATATCCTTTTGGGGGACACAATTCGATCCATAACAGGTGATGGGGCATTAAAGGCCACACCGCCATGGTTTTCTACCAATATAACTGCTACTACCAACCCTGTTCAGGCAGCAGATGATTTCGATGATACAGCTACTACTATTGGCAAGTTAGTTATTATGGTAAAAATTTTATGACAGATAAATCCTTAATGGGAGATGAACCTGGCAACTGGCACAATATGAGCTACATGCTAGTCAAAGGAGGACCTTTAAAACATTGCATTTTTCTTCAACTTCATAGTATGTTTACTTTTTGGTGATTTAAAAAAAAAATCTATCTTGTATTGTATCCTGGTTGGGTTTTAGCCTACTTACCTATTAGCGACTGAACTATGGCCCTCCTCCCCAAATTTATATATTTAACTACTAAGCCCAGTGTCTCAGAATGTAACTGTACTTGGAGATAGTGCCTTTAAAGAGGTAATTTAGGTAAAATAAGGTCATTTTGGTGCACCCTCTAATCCAATATGACAGGTGTGCTTATCAGAAGAGGAGATTAGGACACAGGCACACATAGAAGAAAGAGGATGTGGGAACATGGGGAGAAGATGGCCATCTACAAGCCAAGGAGAGAGACCTCAGAAGAAACCGACAGTGCCAGCAGCTGGATCTGACTTCTGGCCTCCCGAGCTGAGGAAATAAATTTCTATTGTTTAAGTCACCTGGTCTGTAGCACTTGTTATGCAAACCTTAGCAAAACATTTCCCTACCCATGAACAGAAAAACTCTTTGAGGTGGACTATCACGCTGCCCAAAAATGACCTGCACATAAAAAAAAAAAACTTAAAATGTGTAACTCTAAGTTGGAGGTCAAAGAAGATATCTAGTGTTAAGTTCAAACCCAGAATTGTCCATAATTTAAATAGATTTGATATAGTTAATATCACTGGCACTAATGATTATCTTTTTCTAATTAGTTATTTCTATAATGACTACCTAAGTAAAATCTCTGGTTTAATTAATGCAGATATTTCAAGTTATAAAATTATTACTTTAAATAAATCCAATACCTTTAAAAACAAAAACAGCTATATTGGTAATTTCTATGTGCTATAAACTATTCTAAGTGCTTAATACATATTACTTTATATATATTTACTTTATAATATGCATTTTAGGGTTTTGTGAGATAATAATAATCCATTTACATGTAACAAAACTGATAATTATAATTGCCTGTCCTATGAACTAATAATATTCAGCACAAGCAGCTTGGCTCCAGAGTCTGGACTCAAGGTGTACTGCTTCTCAGGTGATGGAGAAAATCACATCTTAAGGTTAAGTGATCAAATGTGGTAAAAACTAAACTTGACAATTACGAAGTTATTTAACTATTAAGTTACCCCAAATCCATGGTAGAATAAGGGGAAAACTAACTAAGCTATTGCTTACTGTACTTCATTGTCAATGATAAAATAAACAGTGTGATAGTCATTACAAGTATTCACACATATTCCAGCTTTCTCCCTGGTTATATGACGGAAATTAGGGATGGCCATGTGACTTGCTCTGGCCCATGAAATGGGAGTGGAATATACACGTGTCACTTCCAGGCAGAAGCTTTAAGAGCCAATGCATGCTTTATCACATTCTTTCTTCCTCAGTCTGAGTTCTTTGTCATTCAGGAAATAGTACAATGACTCCAGTACAATGACTGTCAATATTATAAAGCCTGGCTGTTCCTCAACCAGGATTCTGGAATAAAGATGATAATGAAAAGGAACAGAGTTCCAGCAAACCCACAAAGAACACACAGTGTAAGCAAAATGAACTGTTGCTGTATTAAGTCACCGAGATTTTGAGAGTGTTTATTACCATAGCATAACCCAGACTATCCTGAATGACACAGATATCAACAATGAATGTAAAGCAGTTGCATAAAGAAAAGGATGGACTCCTACAAGTGAGGGAAACGGAAGGATGGGCAGGGAATGACAGGATTTTGTCCCTTTCGCTGCCCAGGCAGTTGTTCGAACAGAAGGCTTCCCTCATGGCACAGATTACAGGGCATATGAAAAGTCCCAAATGACACGGAACCCAGACTGTGGGTAGAACAACGCTCGTCGCTGAGGGCAGATTCCTAGATTTGGGGGAAGCCTCCATTCCACCTTCTCGCCCCTACCTGTAGCCAGGTGCTAATGAAAACTAGGCTCCTCCCAAATGCCACCTCTCTCCTTCCTGCCTTTTAAAGAAATCTGAACTTTAGCCTTGAGAAAATATAACAAGGTTCACCCATGAGGCACCAAGTCCATTCCTTGGCATTTTAAATCCAAAGGCTGCCACACAAGTTTGTAACTATCGTACAGGATTTCATCCAAAGGAGATGCTCAAGGACCAGGCCCTCATGCTACAGTTCTTTGTTTATTGTTGCCCTAATGAAGGTGGACGGGAAGCTGAACTTTGAACAGGACCAGATAGTTTCTGCCGGTCTTGTTTATAAATGCGCGCTCAGCAGCTAGAAGCTGGCACATAATAAGCATTCTATAATTATAAAGTAAACGGGAATAGGACGAACTCAAAACTGGGAACTCATCAGTTCATTTCATTTGTAACTTTTAGGACCCTGACACATAACTGGGCAGGGTGTGCCCTGATAACAGCATCCAACCATCAAGAGGAGTGGCAGGCTCTGTGAGGCTGCATTAACAAAAAGAAGGGCCATTCTTCTGTACTTGAAACAAAAGCATCTTCTGTTTATCAAGATATGTGCCTACAGGCACCTCATAGGCTAGCTTCCGGTTCCTCACCCACATTTACCAGGATTCCTTGGAGACCATCCTTGGAGGTACTATAGAGGAGACTTCTTCTGTACCTGACCACCATCAACTCCTGATTCTGGAACTCCTTGAGGTTGGATAGCTCTCCGTGAAGATTTACCATAACCTGCAGTGTATGTTTGTGAACTTGGACTACCTACTGCCACATTCCTGTGTCCTGGCAAGGAATATTGACAAGCCACTAGCAAACGAGGTACCAGAGGCATTCTTCTGCCAGAATTTTACATCCTGGCAGAATCCCTGCAGTGGGTGGTGGTTTTAAGAGAACTTCTACAGCACTACACTGACCAAATGACATCATTTTGATGTGCTGGAGCCCAGGGTTTCTTAACTTTGACACTTGATATTTTGGACCAAATAATTCTTTGTTATAGGCACTGTCTTCTGTGTTGTAATATGATTGGCAGCATCCCTGGCCTTTATTCACTAGATGCCAGGAGCACTGCTCTCTCCCCACCCCCAACTGTGACAACAAAAACTGTCTGCAGACATTGTCAAATGCCCTCTGGGGTGGGGTGGGTAAAATCAAGCCTGGTAGAAAACTACTCCAGCTAGACCTATACTTTCACTTCCAGCAGGTGGTGTGAGACTGACAACAAGAGGGTGTGTCCAGGTACTAAGATGCCCGTCACCATCTCCACCTACTCTATGCATTTGAGGCTGGTGTTGGGCTTCCCCTGAGATCCCACTGGCAAGTACACTGAGGAACTCTCCCAGCAAGTTGAGAGGCTGGCCCTATTCCCAGCAGGTAGAAAATAACTGGCTTGCTCTTCCTCCCCACCCGTTCCTCCTTCTATTAACTCCTCTTTCACCTTTGCCCCTCTCCTAAAAGCAGCAGAACTGTGATTCAACTAAAGCCATTTAAATGACTGAAAGACTATATAATGCCTTCCCTTTTATGCAAAAAAAGGAGCTATACAGAGATTTTTGCTCATGTGCCAAGACTGCAAGGATTACTCAAAGGACACAAATTTATGTGGTTGCCTATGGAATAGAAGATGTGTCTGGAAGGGAAGAAAATTTGCTTTTCACTGGATATCCTTTAAAATGTTGAATTATTTTTTAGATTATGCATAAAGTCCACCACAAAAAAATAAAATCAAAAAATAAAATTCAAAGAAAATATTTCAAAATAGAATAGCAAATATCCTATATATAGGATAAATAAAAGATTCTTACCTTTCTCTGCAAAATTTAAGTGAATGTAGTATGGCAGGTCTCTTTTGACGTAAATTCCATAAATGTAAGGTGTCATCAGCCAAGGCACTCACAAGAGCTCCCTTAAAAATAAAGTGTCATATATTTTATATAGAACATATTTTACAAATATTAAAGCTACTAAGGACCTGCCAAAAAATTTCCTTCCTAAATTTAAAACTTTCTGCCAATAGATTTAGTTCTGAGAAACATTTACCAAACCCAAATTCTAAACAGCAGATGTAAAAGTGTACTGTATGCATATGCATGTGTAAAAAATGTTTTAAATTCTTCAATAATTTAAAGTATAACTTACTATCTTATAAAGTAAAAGTATACTAGGATAAGTTGGATATTATGATTACTAGCTATGTAAAATTAGAGATCAGACTATAAGTTACTTGGTCACTACTGTACATACTTCCTTCACTAAAAGAGCAAGATATGATATGAAGTAAACTTCCATTTTATTTGACTTAAAACAAATCCTTATGAGTGTACTATACCTAGAGCAAAATTCTACTATTAAAATATATGGAATATAAAGACAGCATTCAGAACATTGTAGCTTCAATGTCCAAAGGGTTGAAAAATATGATTAATTTTGAAAGTTAAAACATCTGATATTACTAAATACTATTAAATATGAGGAAGATAATCTCTAGCAGTACGTGAGAATAATGCAGGGGGCTCAGCTGCATTCATGACCTGACAAATCAGAATTTTCAGAGCAAAAACCTATGTAGGTGTATTTTTTTAAATTTCCAGAAGTGATTCTGATATGTGAACACAATCTCTAAACTAAGGCTGATTTATTAAGACATATGAATGTTTCTCCTCAAAAGAGTAAGGTACTCTTCTACACTGAGAGAACAAGACAAAAGATGCAACATGAAGAATTTATATTAATTTCAAAAAAGGTTTGAAGTTCTAATCCTTTAGGTTATTATAAGAAATCTTAAAATCTCCTCTTAAAATAAGAGAGCTTCTCATTTATCCAAGAAAATTAAAAGAGCTCTGAAGACAAAATTTACATTAAATGATCTCTCCAAGTCCTTTCTACCTTCAAAATTCTGACAGCTACTCTGTTGTATAACTCCTATTCCTACAAAATGACAACTGAAAGCAAAAATACATGAAGCTCACATACCCTCCCTTTCACTAGAAAGCATACTCTTATCTGTATCACTTTGAAGCAGAGAAAGTCCAAAGATTCAGATTATCAAAGATTTGTATTCTTCGCTCTTCTTTGCACTGTAGTTTCACATCATGTCATCTGCTTTATGAAGATGTTTGTCCCATCTTAAAATCTCAAGGAAGAAGAGAAGATGGAGAGCCAAAACGGCAGCAACGGCTGACCTTCTCTGGTGGCGCCTATACGTAGATTGCCCAAACTGAATGCAAACAGCTACTCCCAACTGTCAGATTTCCATAGTCATCCCATTTAATATTCATATTTTACTAAGAATTTTTTCAAACAGCAATGTTATCTTTAAGCACTTAAATGTAAGACTCAAGCATGTAAAATAGAATAGTCATTTCAAAGAACTCTGTGATGAATCCTACTGATGAGAAAAGAATCCTGTAATATGCATAATGGCAGCATAAACAACAAGGTTTCTAAAATTTAGATGTATAGGTAATCAATTTGCAATATGTTATTTACATTGGCTCATGCACTCCTTTAAAAAATCATCTTAACACAAGAATAAAGATGGAGACTAGGTTAGTGGTTGCCAGGGATTAGGGACTGAGAGCAGGAAGGGAGTGTAATTATAAAGGGGTGGCTGAGGACATTCATTCACAGTGGTGCAACTGATCTGTACCTTGTTAGTGGTGGTCATTACATGAATCTATACATGTGATAAAATTGCAGGAAACCACACACACACACACACACACACACACACACACACACACACACATACACACACAGAGGCATGTAGAAGCAGGTGGTGAAATCTAAATAAGGTCTGTAGTCTGGTTAACAGTACTGTGCTGATGTCATTCTCCTGGTGTGATATTGTACTATTGTTACATAAAATCTTAATATGGGGCAAGCTGGGGGAAGGGTACACAGGACTTCTCTATTTTGAAACCAACTGCCAGTGTAATTATTTCATAATTAAAAAAAAATTAAAACAGGAAAAATAATCTTGAGTCCTCATATATGGGTTCAACAATTTTCTATATTTTGATGTTTTTAAATATGCCTATTAAACGGTTCTATGAGAAAACACTGAAGATTTTTTAAAAAGTTCCCTTTGACCCTGAAAAACCTACACAATTATGTGTTATTTGGATCATTCTCTTGCTGAATGTTTCCTATTATCATCTTTAGCTCTTTACACCCACGATGCCTCTCTTAAATCTGACGTGAACAAAACATTTATCAAAAGCCAGAGGTACTGAGTCATTTTTTTCTCTCATACACATTTAAGAATCTACCTCATGGAACCCAAGGACTTAAGGGCAAAAAAAATGTCCACAAACTATCCTCACATCTAAGGACAGCAGAGCCTTTTCCAGACTAATTTCTCTCTTCCTTCCATGACCAGCTTTTCCTGCCTGTCACTACTTGCAGTAAACACCTATTCTCAGAACTGCTTGTACTTTTTTAAAACCTGCCAACACATTGTTTACTTTGCTGATAAAACGGTGCTTCTCGAGCTCTTTCCAAAAAGAAAGGCATCATCAATTACTTCAACAAATAACTGATACAAGAACTTTGGACAATAACCAGTTTCTAATGGATTTTGGTTTCCTGGTTGTATATCAAAACTCATCAGAGAAGTACATTTTATAACTTTTAATAAGCTCCATTTTTAAAAAATATCGTAATATAAATTTTTATGTTGTAACTTTGAATATCCCTGAAATAAATTTAAATACAGCACCCTGTACCAACAATATTTACCTCATACCACTGTATTTGTAACACCGTCTGAGAAACATCCTACATTACTTATGCAACTGTCCACGATGATGCCTTAAAGTGAATTACTATAATCGCTGATCTATAAAAAGTTAGGTTTTTGTTCAAATATTTAAATATGAATGCATGCAAAAAATCTGAAAGACGAGATCTGGCCCTATTTCATACATAAGTATGAGAGATTAAAGCAATTCACTAACCTCATTAATCAGGAACTGGAGCTGGATTACTGCAGCGCCACTGTCATGCTGGCAATAGCATTCTACTCCAGGACGACCGAAGCTGTCATTAAGTTCATTAAGGAGTTTATGGTATGTGTAGGCTATTTATAAAATTGGTAAATTATATAATAGGCTAATAAATATCCCAATGACCCGATATTCAGTACACACTATTTGAGGTCAAGATTTAGTTAGGTTTACTAGACATCGAGCTAATCAGCTGGTTTCTGTTGATAATTGGAACACTGAATGATTAGAGGTCTAAAAGAAATAAGAAAACTGTTCCTTTTAGGGAAAAAATAGTATTAAAAACAGCAATATTCAAAACCAAGATAATACATATTTAATATACTTATTCTGGCCAAGTTTTTTTCTTTCACTTAAAAAGAGAAAAGGTAGAGCATCCAATTTTGCCTGAGTCAGCAAACAAATACGAAAATCAGACAAATGACATTTTTAAATACTGTTTTTAGAAATAGTCTTTTTTATTGGCATTTTTCATTCCTGTAGTCTCATTTTAAAATTAGTTTAGGCTACAAATATAACAAAGAAGAATTGCTAGGTCGTATGGTATAGCCATTTTTAGTTTTTTGAGGACCCTCCATATTGTTTTCCATAGAGGCTGCACCAATTTGCAATTCCACCAACAGTGCACAGGGGTTCCCTTTTCTCCATATCCCTGACAACACATTGCTGACTTTTCGATAATAGCCATTCTGGCAGGTATGAAGTGGTATCTCACTGTGGTTTTGATTTGCATTTCCCTGATGGTTAGTGATGTTGAGCATCTTTTCATATCTGGTATGTGTTCTTTGGAGAAATGTCTTTTCATGTCCTCTGCCCATTTTTCAGTCAGATTGTTTTATTTTTTTGTTATTGAGTTGTATGTATTTCTTATATATTTTGGATATGAACCCCTTATTAGATGTATCATTTACAAATATATTCTTCCATTCAGTGGGTTGCCTTTTTGTTTTGTTGATGGTCAGTTTCCTTTGCTGTGCAGAGGCTTTTTAGTTTGATGTAGTCCCGTGTATTCATTTTTGCTTCTGTATCCCCTGCTCAAGGGAGAATGTCCAAAAAGATATGTCAGATAGTTTACTTCCTATGTTTTCTTCTAGGAGTGTTACAGTTCCAGGCCTTACATTTATTCCATTTTGAGTTTACTTTTGTATATGATATAAGACAGTTGTCCAGTTTCATTTTTTTTACATGTATCTGTCCAGTTTTCCCAACACCACTTGAAGATACTATTATTACTCCATTATTATTTATCCAAAGAAAACAAAAACACTATTTTAAAAAGATATATACACCCCTATGTTCACTGAAGTATTAATAATAGCCAAGACATAGAAGCAACCTACATATCCATCAACAGATGAATGGATAAAGATTACACACACACACATATTTGTGACTATATATATTATATATATATATATATATATATATATATATATATACACATACACACATACACAATGGAATATTATGCAGCAATAAAAAAGGATAAAATCTTGCCGTTTGTAACAACATGGATTTAGACAGTATTATCTATGCTAAGAGAAATAAATCAGGCAGAGAAAGACAAATATCATATAGTTTCACTTATATATGGAATCTAAAAACAAAACAAACAAAACAAAAACAAACACAGAAACAAAGATCAAAGGGAAGGGGGTAATAGAGGGATGGATGAAAAGGAGAAGGGCAATATAGGCGATAATATTGTGGTAAGTTTGCACGGTGACAGATGATTACTAGGATTAGTGAGGTGACCACATTGTAAAGTAGAAAAATGTCGAATCACTAGATTGTAAACCTGAAACTAATATAACCAGTATAAGACTGTATACCAACTATACTTACATACTTTATATATATATACATATATATGTATATATATAGTGAAGAGCCACATAACTATGGTTCTAATTGATGTTATATCACTAATGAATGTATTCGTTTTTTACAGTAGGCTTAAATACAGATTAAAATGCAAATTTTTATGATTTTGCATATAATTACAACAGCAAACACACGGCATTTTTCTCTGTTAGGCATTAAATATGTTTTATATATAACTCATTTAATCCTCATAACCTGTTAAGAATAAGGTAACTGTATCACAAAGAAATTAAGTAACTTGCTCCAAGTCGCACAATTAGAAAATAGCAGAGATGAAATCTGAATATTCTGGCTCCAGAGTTTACACTCTTAATAAGATATACTGAGTAAAGAACAAACAAAACAAAACAAAAAACCCCAAACACTTACAGAACTTACTATGTGTCAGGCACTGTTATATGCTTCTTACCCTCATAAACTTGAAATAAGAAGTTAGCCATTTTAACACGACTTTTCATACTTAATAAATATTTATAGAAAATAAAATGCAAATTCTAAAAATAAAATTCCATAGGATTTAATAAAATTATAGCACTCTGTACACAAATTCACATTCAGGTGTAAAAACTATTTCTACATTCTATTAACACATGTCCTATGGTTCTTCTTAACCCTCCATCGGGCGCAACTGATCTCACAGATTCATTGCACACAAATTTTCAAATACCTAACAGTTAACTTACGTATCATGACTCATCACTTCTGTACCTTTCCCCTCTACCGTAACCTATCGCTAGTTGTGTTTCTGACTTAATAAAGACGTATTTCATAGCGGCATCTTTTGTGTGCAATGAATCTGTGAGATCAGTTGCGCCCGATGGAGGGTTAATTAAAAATAATTGCACCAAAGGTTAAATTCCTATTTTCTATCCATTTTTTCCTTGTGATTTCTAGAAATATTTCTAAGTGATATTTATATTCAATGGATTTTTTCATTTTATTACTAACAATTAGCTCTTCTATTATTTTATAAAGTAACAGACTAATTGAGCATGTTTAGCTGATAGCACCCTCCTCTTCAAACACCTTGAATTTTTTATTATTATTGTAGTATCATCAGCAATAATATTTTTACTACAGCAGTTTCCCAAATGCAACTATAGGACACTAGATTTCAAACTGGTACTATTGGCACTTGGTTGTGCCAACTCACACCCTGGTAGGCCAAGGAAAGAAATGTCTACATCTCTGTTTATCCATTTATTTTCTCAGATGACAGCAAAGATCTTGCCCTGTTAATTGGTAATGTAAGTCTAATTCAAATATCCCAGATACATTATTCTTTCTGGTACCAATCAGCATATTCTATAGTTCCCATTTGATATGAATGGAGTAAAACTTCTCTTATATGAGCAGATAAGGACTGATAGCTAAGTTAATAAAAAATGTGATCTATTGTGGAGAATCATAAAAATTCTATTTACCTTACATACTATTTTTACATAAAACATAATTTTGCTTATCTTGTGATACTAGCCAAAGACATTTTCTTAAATGTGGCTCTATTAACTAGACTTCAGGATAGTTTCTCTTGAATAAAACATAACCATAACTACCTAGGTACACGATTTGGATATCATTTTTTTAAAGGAACTTTACAGATACTGGCAAGAAATCTCAGTGCTGCATTCATACAGTCCTAGTATTTCTTTTCCCATTGTCTACACTTATCCACATAGCATCAGACAGGAAATTTTAGGTGATGGACCTTCATGAAGTTTTTCCAAAGTATTCATCGTAGATTTTTACATATTAAAAAAACCTCTCTTTTTTCATTTATATTTCATCAGTTGATATAATATCAAATATAATAGACACATACAGATTTGGGAATACACAAAACTGATTTTTGGTAATAAAGAATAAGCAGGGCCGGCCGAGTGGCGCGATGGTTAAGAACTGGCTTGGGACGCCAGAGGGCCCCGGTTCGGATTCCACATATGAAGGCCAGTGGCACTGCCCTCTACAGCTAAGATGCTGAACAACAGCTCAACCTGGAGCTGGGCTGCCGTGAGTCGCCAGCAACGGCGTAGGCTGCAGCCCCTGTGGCAGTAGGTTGCCATGGGCTACCGTGTGCAGCCAGCAGCCAGCGTGAACGGCCAGCAGTGCAGTGAGCGGCCGTCCAGAAGCCGGCGACTGATCTGCCTCACCCGGGAAGAGCGCAATGATGGTGCCAACTTGGGCCAGTGAAGCAACGTCCTCCACAACTAGACTGAAGAACAAAACGACAGCAACTTGTCTGTTCCCCTTCCCCGAATTCCCCAGCACTGTTCCCATCCCCCCAATTCCCCAATAAAATCTTAAAAAAAAAAAGAATAAGCAAACAGCTCTCCTAATTTGGGCTTCCTGGGAAATAGCCTACTGGTTTTGAAACTTCAGTACGCTGTGGGCATCAATATTTTATTCATAGAGAATGAAAAGTGTCTGTAAATCCAGGAAGTCAGTTACATGGAGGTCAAGAAAGGTTTTATTCTTATTCTATGTATAGCATTATTCCAGACAAAACTCTACTTTTTTACAACATTAATATTAATTTATTTCCCAGCTAAGACAATAAATACGTTTTCTTAATAATAAAAACTACTTACTGAGTATCTACTTTCAGTCACTGTATCTTAAATACATGATTGTACTTAATCCTCAGAGTAACTCTGAAAAGTAGTTATCATCCATACTTTACAGATAATAATTCTGATACACAGAGAAGTGATTTTTTTTAAAGTTACTACTAATTTGTTTCCTTTTTCCTTTGAAATGCTGTAGCCAGCCCTGAAGGGTCTTAACACTAAAAAAGCTCTATGGATTGGGAAAAAAATTCATTTCATAATAAATCATTATTTCATAAAAACAAAAAATTTAAAATTAAATTTTAAAGAACGAATATTGCTTATTTATAATCAAGAGATATTAGTGTGGAAAGAACACCAATTTCAGAGCAAGGAGTTCTCAATCCTGGCAGTATATGAGAGGGAGAATTATTACACCTCTCAACTTCCTTCTTTATAAAATGCAGATACCTATCAAGTCTAGCCTGAAGAACTGTGGTGAGAATTAAAACTATATAGTATACTTGCCAAATGGTGGCCATTATTATTAGTTAACATAATGTATTCATTACTTTAACAAAAACTAAAATTATCTTACAATAGA